CAGGATCAAAGTGGCTGTCTCTCACCATCTCATAGTTGCTTCCTTTATGACCTGCTGAGAATTTGGGTAGAGAATTACAAAGTAGAGGGGATGGATGTATTTTCATACTTACACTTACGGAGGTAGGCTTGCTGATTTCAAAACAAGTTTGGGGTGTTTGTGAATGGACTGTTTCTACAGAACGTGTGGTTTTGATCCCCTCTCCCATGCATTCTGGTTGCTGTGGCAGAAACAAAGATAGAACTGCAGCACCATCTCATGGCTCAATAGAATAAAACATGAGAACCTAGCAAGACTGCAGTGTCCTTGCCCCTAAACTTCTGGGTTGGCTCAGCTATCATCATAATAGTTAACATGAAGTATTTTCACTTGTGCTGCGTCTTGGATGTGAAGGCCTCAGAGTGCTGTACAAAAGTGGGTAAGATCATCCTTATTCTACAAATGGGGAGTGTCTACACATGACACTATGGCCTCAGAGTAATGCGCTACAGCAATGTAGCATCTGTGGGCAAAACCTGTGCCACCAAAGCTACATATCTGTACTAATGTGCTATCTCCCATTATAGCGCATTGCTATGGTGATGTAGTGCCTAAAAATAACCGTGTGTGGCATACACGGCACAGTACGGGTTGTTACTGCACCGTCTTTTAGTACTTCCAAAAAGAAGCAGTACATAACAGCACAGTAACAATGGCGCCATAGCAACACGTATAGATGCGCCCATGGGGAAGTGCAATGAGATAACCAGCGATTTGTTCCATGTCACCCAACGCAGGTGTGTCTACACTGCAATCACTACAGCGACTTGAGTGCAGCTCATGTAGACATACCCAATTTATCTCTCTTGGGTACTACTAGTGTGACCCTTCTTATATTATCTAGTCATGCATCCAGATAGCATGGGGCTCAGTGAAAGATGCAAAACCTGCATGAGAAGCTCAGTGAATGCTAGGCTAGTTAGCCCATGATGAGCTCCTGGCTACTGATTACACTGTTCCTAATCCCCAAGCCAGCTGGTTTAGATAGAGCTCAGATGTATTGAGGTGTGCAGAGATTGTAGAGCAAACACACTTGCAGTTGATTGTAGAACCTAGGAACTCTGACACTGTTACTGGCTAATGAAACTCACTCTGTCTGGAGGGGTAGAGAGAAGGCAGAGCTGTCATAACAGATCTTTGTGCCAAAAAAAAATGTGCCCGTTGTCCCCACCAAAAGCCAGATTGTGCTAGTAAGATGCAGACATGCTTTAGGGGTGTTGGGAGATGCCCTGCCTCACAGGACCTATGAGTGCATTATACATGTCTCCAGCATGTTTTTGGCACATACTGTAAACTTCCAATGCCACCACCCTTTTAACCACCCTTTAACAGGATGTAGTCCAGGGGATGGGAAGTGTAAAACCCCTCTCCCACCATATCCTGTACAGAGTGGCTTGTGGGCTTTGGAGTGCTAGCAGTGAGTATTCCCTATAAATAGGAGAAACCAAGGTCTGCAGCAGGGAAAGGTGTAGGAAAGCTTCCTTTTATGAAGAGATGCGAATGATCAGAAGGATCCGTAGATAAGTCAAGGCTTGGGAAAACTCTCCCTGAAGAAGGGGCTGTGAGAAGCAGAGGCTGAGGACCGATGAACCACAACTGAGCAGAGGGGGGGCTAAAAGGGACAAGGGACATGCTCACATAACAGGAGGGGGGGACAGAGTTTCACAATGCACTGAAGTAAACAAACATTGCCTAGACAGCTCCTCAAAGAGCCCCAAAATAGGCCAGTGTGGGCAATGAGTAGCTCCTGGGATGCTTTGCAAAGCTTGCTGGTGTTATAAGAAGCTCTTTCCTCGTGGGCTACTCAATCCTGACCTTTGCTTTTCAGTCCATGGAGAGCTCTGAAACTGGAAAGAAGTAAACTATCTTGCCACAGTGTTGGGACCAGTGCTGTTTAATATATTCATAAATAATCTAGAATATATTCATAAATAATCTAGAGTGAGTAATGGGGTGGCCAAATTCACCGATGACACAAAATTATTCAAAGTGGTACAGACCAAGGCAGACTCTGAGAAACTACAGAAGGATCTGGCAGCAAATGGGCAACTAAATATCAGGTGCAATTCAATGCAGGTAAATGTAAAGTGATTTACCTGGGCAGAAATAACCCAAATTATACCTACACTATGATGGGCTCTACATTAGCTATTATGACACAGGAAAGAGATCTGAGAGTCATTGTGGACAGTTAATTAAACATTAGCTCAGTGCTCAGCAGCCACCAAAAGGTGAACAAAATTTTAGGGACTACTAAGAAGGGAATTGTAAACAAAATGTATCATTACACCCATTTATAAATCCATGGTGCATCCACACCTTGAATATTGTGCCCACTTCTGGTCCCCGCACCTCAAAAAGGATAGAGAAGATCTAGAGAAGGACAACAAGGATGATTAGTGGTATGGAGGGGCTTCCATATAAGGAGACTAGAGGCTAGGCCAGGAGTGGGCAAAATATGGCCACGGACTTGGATCCGGTGCACCAACTAATTGGATCTAGCCTGCGAGGCAGCATCCACCAATTGTATCTGGCCCACGGCTGTTCCTGCACCACTCTGCATGAGGTCAACCCTACCCACTTCCGCCTGGGGCAGCCTGTGCCACACTCCTACCTGCGCCTATTGATGACCCTGATCCTGGCCAGTGCGCACAGCTTCCCAGAGTGGCTGCTCCTGGTGTGGCTATACCTGTCTGGGTGCTGTTTGGCTCCCCCTGACTCCAGCAGCTCCTCCTCCTCCTGCCTCTGCTGCACCACTCCGGGTAGCAGGTAGTGCAGGGAGGTGCCAGGCACCACATGGCCAGCCAGGCAGGGGGGGAAGCTGCAGCTGGGCAACTCCTGCCCTAGCACACGGAGCTTTAGCTCCAGTTCCTGGCCACCTTGCACCTACTCTGCCCACCCAATGTCTGACCCAATAAATGGTAATTCTTATGTTCTTAAGATGACCAGGCAATGCCAATTCTGAGGTGGTTTCTGAATTTGGCTGAGAAACTACAGCTCTCTGTTCTGTGATAGGATCAGCAGGTCCCAAACACACTACTTGCATTAAGTTCCCAGCTGAACTCAGTGAGAGATCAGCTCAAGAAAGCTTACAAGCTCTTACTATTCTGGCCTGTATGCTGGCTGCTGACAGAGGTGTAGGGTTCTATTTCCCATTACCAACCCTCTAAGTCTGCCAGACCCACACATCTTGAGTCTTTTTAAATTAGCAACCACCTTGCCACCAAACTGGACTGCAGTGACAGCACCGGCCCTCTGTGTCTCTCTGGGTATACATACACCACTTCCCCATGTCCCCAGGAGTACTTGCTATGGGACACATCCTACCCACCTGATTCTGCTCTGCACACATCAGACATGGAAAGGAACTGGTGAGGCCTACCTGGGGGCATCTCCTGCCGTTGATGTTAAGTGCACCAGAAGTAGAGATCACAAGAAGGCTGGCAGAACCACCTCTGAAATGGCTTTACCACCTCCCTTCTGTACTTGGCATGTGCAGAGAGGATGGGCAGAGTATGATGAAGGACAGCACTCCCTGGGAGTACCAGGGAAGCAGTATAGGCACACCCTCAGCCACAGAGCATCAATAGAGTAGACTTAGCTCCAAGGGCAAAGAAAAGATCCTGTGGAGGAGCTGAGTGTGAAGGGAATATAAATATTAGTCCATCCACAAACTGATCTTCAGTCCTGACCAAGGTCCCCACCTTGTGGAGGGTCCCCAAGCTGCTGTGTAGATCTCATGCACTGGCAAGCCAACTGGGTCCAACCAGTGTCCAGGCACTCAGGCACACTCACAAGCTGTGGATGCTTTGTCTGGTGCTCCTCCTAGGGTGTGTAGTGCTGGGGTTGTCACAGGCTAGCTGGGGTCCATCTGTCCTTGGCTTCTAAACCAGAGTTGGGCCTCCAAAGCCACCCTTATGGTTCCAGCACAGCATCCCCAGAGCTCCACTCTGCTGTGCAGTCTGTTTTTTTGCTCAGCAATTTGGCAGCCCTGTGATAGTTACTATAAGTGAAGTGATCTGTCAAGGTCACTCAACAAATCTGTTGCAAAGCCGGAATAGAACCCAGGTCTCTCCTTGGACCTGGTCCAGTCCTCTGCCTTAAGAACACCAGCTTCACAGAGGAACATCTCATTTTAATACACAGCAAAACACATTAGTGGAAGAGATTACATGACACAGTTGCCTGAGAGCAGAGGACTGAACTCAGTGACCTGGAGGCCTCTTTCAGCCCGGAGTTCATAGACTAATAGGCAGCACAAGAGAAAGACAGGGTTTGGCAAACCCACAAACTCTTGAACACAAATCTCTTCTCCCCATCCTCACCACCCCTGGGGGCCCCTTGTGTTGTTGGTCAGTGTCCATGGAGGAAGGTAGTCTCTCTCTTACTCCTACCTGCTCTTCTCCAGTAGTGCCTAGTGGGCAGGGAGGGGAGGGAAGAAAATGACTCCCCACCTGTAGTCAGGTATCCAGGTTGTAGCCATATTGGTCTAGAGGCAAAAGGAATCAGAACTCATGGTAGAGGTGATATCTTTTATCAGACCAACTAGATTTTTGCAAAAAAAAGTCTTTAATTGCAAGCTTTTGGGCACAAGATCTTTTCTCCTATGCTTGAAGAAGGGTGCTTGTGCCCAAAAGCTTGCAATTAAGGACATTTTTTTGCAAAAATCTAGTTGATCTAATAAAAGATATCACCTTTCCCACGAGTTCTGATTCCTGTTCTCCAGTGTAGAGCACTCATCTCTTTTAAAAGCACTCGGTGGCACCTTACTTTGCTTCTCATGTCCTGGTCATCACATGCAAACCCCTCCCCCATCTTATTCCAGAGCAGGTGGTAAAGCAGATAAGAGTCATTAGTAAGTCAATAGTCCTTGGCAGCAGCCTGGATGACTTTTCCTTTGTGTAAGGCAAGAATTCTTGTGGGCAGTATCTTTTATTGGACCAATTGTATGGCTGGTCTAGATGAAGGCAAGTTTTCGGCCATCACAGACCCCTTCCTAAGACAGAAGCAGACACCATGAGCTAAACTGCTCTGTGTGTTCTCCAGAAGGGGAGAACACCCCCACCTCCCCACACACACACCTTCTTGGGACTTGCTGTTTGTTGCAGCTCAGATACACATCTCCCAGATGAAACTGGCTTTCAGCAAAGGATCCAAAGGCTTTCTTAATCTTCCCATCATGGTGAACTACAAAAAAACAGTCCCATCAGCTTGTGGTTATGTAAGTGGCTCTTACACCTGCAAGGAATTCCACGATTGTCTTGGGAATCCTTGCAAGAGCCAAAGTTGCTCAGATCCAAAGCTACATCATGTGTGCTTAAAAGCCTGGAGAACCAAGACCAGTGCACTCTGTGGGCCGTGGGCTGCTGCTTGCCCAGGAGGCTGCAGTGAGTGGTCTGCAGCTCATACCAGACCTTTATTTTCAACTAAGTGTGATGATAAGGAAGCAGGGAGGTCTCTGAGACATATTCTGGGTTCACTGTCATCCCCCAAACTGTCTGGGGACCAGCAGACAGGAGGAGTGCCAGGGGGAGGGCGTGGAGCCTTGGCACATTGTGCCTGGCTGATGTCCCACCCGAGGCCCAATGGCACAGGCGCCGGAGGGAGGGCAACTGCTCCTGGGGCGCTGTCCCGCAGGTGACAAGCACCTGGCACACCCGCAGGGCTGAAGGAGCAGGGGCAGTTCTGGGAGCTGCTCGCTCTGACAAAACTGGCCTGGATCTAGCCAGCGCTTGTTTGTGGCTGCAGGCAAATGAAGGGCAAAGACTGAGCAGGGCACAGGAGTGGGCCAGAGGGAACATCCAGGCAGGCCTGAGTGATGGCAGGGGAGGAAGCCAGGTGGTGTCGGGGGCAGCGCCCGGCTAAGGCGCTTTGTGCCCGGCCTTGATGTGATTGCGCTGCCGTGACACTCATCCGCTTAGTGGCCTCGTGCGGGAGGATTCATTAGCTAATGGCTGTCCCTGTTGCGCGTTTACGGAGAATTACGGTAGGATCCCTCCTGTCCGTCGGGATCCGCGGGCGCCGGCTGTAGCTGCAACGCGGCCTCCCGCCGCCGGGGGCGTTGGGGCAGGCGCGGCGGCGCGGGCCCGCTGGGCGCTCGTCTTACGGCTCCGCCCGAGGTCTGCTCGTCAGCGCAGACTGCAGCCAGCGCCGCCAGAGCCAGGTGGGCCCCGCGGCCGGGGGAGCGGGGGGCGCGGGCGCGACCTGGCTCTGGCGCCCTTGTGCTGGGGCGTACTTGGCAGGACAGCGTCAGTCCCGCTGAGGAAGCTTGTCGCTCTGCGGCGCCCATACATGGCGCGGGTGCTGGGGTCGGGTCGCGGGAGAGCCCCGGATTGGTTGGGTAGGGAGCGCGTCCGATCGCTCCGATTGGCTCCTGGGGCTGAGGGGCCATGCGTGCCCTTGACCGCCCGGCCTAGAGGGCGGCGGCGGAGGCGCCCACGTGCACCTAAAGCACAGCCCTTCCCGGGCCGGGGCTGCCCAGGGGCGGATCCTGCGCAGGGAGCAGCGGCCCCCGCGTGGCCCTTGCCCTCCCCTGGGCCACTGCCGGCACTCGGGGTCAGGGCTGCACCCCCCCCCGGCCCCATGTCCGGGCAGGCAGGTGGAGCTAGGCCTGGGCAGTGACCAGGGGTGCTAGGGTCGGGCACCACTCATCTGGGGATTTCCTGTAACCAAAAAAAGTAGGAGCTCAGAGCTGGCCTTGCCCAAGGGCAGGGGCAGGCAATTATTTCAGGTGGAGGGCCGTTTACTGAGTTCTGGCAAGCTATCCAGGGCTGCATGACAGGCAGCCAGGGGCAGATAAATATTAATTTTCTACATTTGTAGGGGTCCTGTGGGTTGGATAGAATGGCCTAGCAAGCTGCATCTGGCCTGCGGGCTGCATTTTGCCCACCCTACCTAAGGGGCATCTGGAGCCTGAATGTTAAAAGCGTGAGGGTCTCTGAGACGGGAGGGGGGTTTATATTGAGCTCTGCTCCTGAACCCTGGGTTAGGTGCTGCTGCTGGCCCCGTGAGCAGTGTTTCTCTCCCAACTGTCTGTGTGAGCCAGGTGGCGTACCAGAGGTAGTTCTGGCCTGGACAATTCACATGAAAGAAACTAGTGTTTGAAGAGAGTGTCAGCTTTGACTTCTGGTGATTGCTAGTTAGCTTTCATCTTAGTGGAGGGGTGTCCAACCTTTTTGAATATGGGGCCGGATCATGAACTTTATATCACCCAGTGGGCTGGTGAGCCATATTCATAATTTAGTACCCCGCGGGCCATATGTTGGACAAGCCTGAAATAAAGCAAGGCTGGCATAAACCCCCACCTGTGCTCAGCTAGTGACAAACTACAACAAATGATGTCCTGGACCAGCCATCCCAACAGCTGGGGCCCCCCTTCTGCCTACTACGACCACCATTTGAAGGCAGCCCCAGAAGATATTTGACAGCTGTGTTAAAATATGTGACCGTTACCCAGTGCCCTCACGCAGCCCAAGGAGCCGCCTATGGCACTGCTTCCCCAGACCTTGCCCACACCAGCAACACTGCTGCCCGAAGTCTTGGCAGTGCTTGGGCAGGCACAGCTAGGGCTCGGCCAATGCGTGGGACGGCGGAACTGCAGGAGCAAAGCCAGTTCCCAGCCTGGCAGGATCTCAGGCCTGGTCTGCCCAGAACGGCTCCTGGCGGGGCAAGGCCTCGGGGGAACACGGGCCGCTCCGCTCCTCTGCACTTCCCTGCGGTGAAGGCAAATGGTCCCTGGGAGGGCACAGGCAGCCACCGCAGTAGGAGAGCGGCGCCCAGCCCAGCCTCAGGGAGCTACAATTCCCCCCCCGGGCCACCCCTTAGCAGCGCAACCCCATGAGCCGGTGCTGCCTGAGGGGGGCCGGAGCAAGGTGGCCGCTGCGCCGCAGCCCCTCGCTCGCCCACCCACATGGCCCTGCTCACCATGGTGCCCCGCCGCCTGTGCATGCAGCCCCGGTGGCCTCAGCGCTGTGAGCCCAGAGCGCGGGGCCCAGCGGACACCAGTTTCCACCACCTCACCCCGCAGAGGTCACACCAGGACCTCGCCTGCCAAGGCGCGCCCCCCCCCGCCCCACCCCGGGCTGCCCTGCCGACTGCCTGTCCCAGGTGCTGTGCCCCGTCCCTGCCCGGCGGGTCCTGGGGGACGAGCAGGATGCTGGGAGCAAGGGTCCGAGCTGGAGACAACTAAAAGCGGGTGCTGTCCTCAGCTTGTCCCGTCAGGCGCAGCCCTTGGGGCGGCGGCGGGACCTGGCTCACATGACATGGGAGGTCACTTGAGCCCGGCCCAGTGGGGGTGAGCAGCTCCCTTTCCCTCCTCCACCTGCCTGTCCCTAGCGAGGGACCTCGGGCCACAGAAAATGGCTTGGGGGGCTGTATGTTGGACAAGCCTGTCTTAGTGGATCCCAAAGCATTACTGTAACCACAAGCATACACTACTACTGATGTGCAGCCAGAGCTCAGAGGAGGCTGGGGTGATGTTTGGTTCAAAATGTTTAATTTGAGACAGATGTCATCTTAATTTTAATTAGGTGGGATAGAGTGTCTAGGTCACATGTTAAGAGGTGAAGCAAGTGCACACCCAGGCAGGAACATGCTTGTGTCTCAGGCCTTGACTTCCATTTTGGGTCATCTGTTCAAATAGTCTCTGTATGTGGGATTTGTACATGTGTGGCTGTTCATATTTGTGTAGGCAAGTGCTCATGCGGTGCACTGAAACCAGTAGTGAAAGTTACACCCTTCACTCTTACTTTCAGCCTTCCCCTAGGAAACAAAGCATGTGTTCTTTCTGAGACAGGCAAAGTTTAAACTCCTGCAAGCGGGGTGGGAAGAACTCCCCTTTTTTTTTTCTCTGGCTGAATCCTGTCCCTCCCCTGCCAAATGCAATGCACCAGGAACAAGAGAAAAGAGTTTCTTCAGACTTCACCCCAAGCCATTTGGCTGCGAACATGAAACGCATCAGCCCTAAATCTAACCTTCAGGTGGCTGTGTTAAGCCAATGTAAGCAGGAGCTTGGAACAAAAGTACTTAATGCTGAGGTGTGCTGAGGCTTAACTTTATGTTGATCCCCCAGATGCTTAACTGCTTGAGGAGCACCCTTCAGCTTGTCAGCCTGCTTAAGTATTTGTAGGATTGGGACTTTTAAGCAGCTTATAGTGCTTAGTTTTCAGTGAAAAGCATTGTAGAAAGAATCTCAAAAGTAATTGCAAACATCTGGAGCTCTATCTAGGTAACAAAATAGAAAGTTTGTGGGTGAGCTTGTGCATCATCCATGTGCATATAGGGTACACCATCCTGTATAGCTCAATCTTTGACTTCTGGTTATAGTTAAAGGGGGAAATGGAAATGTACCTCAATGTGCAGGTACGTGGACTCCTTCTTGCCTTGTACCAGTTATTTGCCTCTGAAGGTATCCAAGGTAGTGTTCTCTTTTTGTTTAAATTGGCTGTTGCAGATTCTGGCTTCTGGTTAAACACCCTTCCAGGCGATGCTCAAGAAGGCTGAATATTCATATTGCGTGATTAACTCTGTCTCTTCCTGAGGCTGATCCTGTACTTTAAAATATTCATTGCCTCCCCAGTCCTCAAATCCAGAGCAGACTTTTTCAGTTTGTCAAGACTTGCATCTTCAATGACCTCCTTTCATGATGCTCTTGCCAGTAGTAGGTAAAGATGCTCTTTATTTGGGGGTCACTTTTGACACTACTGTAATTCAAATATAAGCCTGGATTAGTTTAAGAGGGCCCAACTGCAGTTGGGGCCCCACTTTGATGGTCTCATTGTCCAGCCATACTGGAGAACACAGTAAGTCACCTCTTGGACACATGGGTGACAAGGCCGATAACACGGTGGTTCTCAACCAAAGTTACATGAACCCTTTCCAAGGGTACTGTGACATGAGTGCCTCCATTGTTGGCTAGAAATGTCCAACTCGGGATCCTTAAAATTCTGGTTTATTAGGCGGATTGAAGCACTGTAATGAAGTTAAATCATAAACCTTGGGGCTGGTCCCCACACACATGCACAGACACAGTAGCAAGCTACAAGAGTCAGGTATACCTATCCTACAAGCGCTGGAGTCTGCCGTCGAGGCTTCTTTCAGCGTAGTATTATCTTCCAGAAGGGGGTCGCGGGCTGGTCCTTCTGGCTGGACAGGTCGGGTGCTGGTCAAGTTGGAGATCAAGAGGGTGCCCCTGAGGGTCACTTTTTACTGCTTTTTATCTGTCCTTGGCAGACTTTGGTGACTCCCCAGATTTCAGGTTTGCCCAATCCAGGGGTTGTTGACCCTCATGGGACTTCCCCCCCCCTCGGTGGCTACTGGATGGCATCTGTCAGCCCCAGGGGTCATCCACATGTATGTGCAGGTTTGGGGGTCCATTGATGAATTTTGAATAGGGCTCTGGGAGCGATTGATCTGGAGATATTCAGCCCAAAAGTTGGTCCCTGGCATTGATTAACTCAGGCCAGGGCTTCTAGCCCTTGATCAGTGAGGTTTAGAGATGTCCCAGTTGCTACATTGTCTTCTAACATTGTTACTAAACACATTTATAGTTGAAAGTTGAAAGGTGAGGAGTATAAAATATAAGCTACAAATGCCATGGCACACAAATAGATAAAAATACCAAAATACACAGGGAGATACAAAATGCACACATACAAATTTTAAAACACAATTCCTTATCTTAAAGTGAAAGAAAGAGGAAGGAAGAAAAGGTAGAAGAAGAAAAACGTATTTAAAGAGGGGAGAGCAAATGCAGGCAAGAGGAAAAGGGGGCTTTCTGCTACACCATGGTCAAGCTGAACTGCCCCATGGACAGCAGCTGTGGCTGGGCCATATTCTTTGCTGGTCTGACTCCACATGCTCCTCCTGAAAACCTGTGCCGGACAGGGGGGATTGTCTTGCAGCCCTCTGTTTCTGCGAGGACTGTGGCAAGAACATACACTCCAGACATACCCCTTTGCACTGCCAATTATTAACCAGTCATATCGGCAGCATGGAGAGCAGCGTCCGGCAGGTAAGCTTGTGGGAGGTGCAGATCAAGGACCCCCGCAGGGAGGGAGGGAGGGAGTAGGGCTGGGGCAGGGTGGGGCGGAGCCACGGGTGGCTTGTGAGGGAATTTTGGGGTGGTTAAAGCCGATGCCATAGTCCCCCTCTCCCAGCATTGACGCTGCCCGCCGCAAGCACAACCCTGGCCCAGCCCTCGCCGGAAAGAGGCTAGCGCATCCTCTGGCCCTGAGCCCACAGTGGGCAGCTCTAATTCGGGGCAAATGCCCCCCATGCCTCCACCAGCAGGGTGCCAAGTGGTGGGAAGCCACCCCTTTCCCACCCACCCTGCCCCAGCCCCACTCCCTCCCTCACCGTGGGTGCCTCAATGTGCCCCCACCAATGCCCCTCCCCCCCAGACTTACCAGCCAGATGCTGCTCTCCAAGCTGCTTGGCTGCATTCCTGGCCGTGTGCATGGCTACACTGACCAAAAAAAGCCAATTGCCAATAACGTCAATTTTGCTTTTATCGGTGCTGATTTAATATGGACTGATATAGTGGTGGACCTCTACAGAGAAAACTACTATGGGCAAGAGCATGGGGTAGGACCCTGGTTGACAAGCACTGAAGTAAGCAGAGGCATCACAACAGTGGTTCTCAACCAGGAGTCCTGCCAAATTCAGAGAGGGTGTAGAGGGTGCTCTGCCTCTTCTTTCCCCCTCTTCCTCCCTTCCCCTCCTTTTCTACCCTTTGTCTTACTAATGTCCAGCTATTTACTTTTTTACAAGCAGCCTCTTCTACCTTGGAAAACTACTATAGTAGTTTCCCTTACTTACCTTTGGCTTTTTCCCCCCTCCCTTCCCTTCTCTACCTTTTTGTTTTCCTTATTTTCACCTATTTATGTTCTCACTGACATCCTGTCACACTCTTAACTTCTTTCAATCATTGAAGTCTCAGAACAGCAGAGACTCCCTATGCCTGAAGACAGATGATTGCGCCCAAAAGCTTGCAAAGAACTTTTTCCAAACTACTCAGTTGGTCTAATAAGAGAGATCACATCTACCCAAAGAACCTTGAGAACCACTGCACTAATAGATCTCAGTGCTGCCCTTTACACCTGGCTGCCCATACTGTCACTTGTCTGTCACAGCATTATAAAAGTCAAATGCTTAACTGCAAAGCACTGATTAGTCATTGTATGTGCTTTATAGGGCACTTGCCCCCCGCCTCCTTTTTTTGAAGAGTCCAGTCCAGGCCCCTTTCTCAGGATATCAGTTTATGTATGGCCAAGAAAGCTGTCTTATCTAGGTGAGGTGGCTTTCCTAGCCCAAAGAACTTATCTCCTTTGATAAAGCTCTGTGTAAACTGACTTAGGCATAAGCTTTGCTGAAACTTCTCTTAATTAGTCTACAAGGTGCCTTTGTGTCCTGCCTTCTGCCTGACTTATCAGTGTTTGACAACCCTTTGTTCTATTACTTTAACAAGGAGAACAGTATAGATCTGCTTTTCTCTTTTCAGCTCAAAGGTGCACAGGAGATGAGCATTGCATGGCAGAACATTTTTCTTAGCCCTCACCTTCAAAATCCTGCTACTCCCCAGATCCCACATGGGGGTAAATATACACATTCATGTTAAGGCACAATCATGTGTACTGTCAGCATATCCATATGCTACATAGGACTGCTGTCCTTTGTCTTGGACCTATATTTAGTACTCCCATTGTTCATGATGAGGACTCTCATTAAAGATCTAGCTGCTTATCAAAGCAAGGGGACTATCTGATGTCCTCAGTTGCGTGGATTACCTCTAGAGTCTTAGGACCACCACTGGGTGGGCAGCTGTCGTGTCACAATGTCCTGTGGTCAGGTCCAGATGAGTTCTTCCGTAGTTGTCTTAAAATGTTTCGGGGCCACCACTGGGTTTTGGCGGCCAGCGCCATAAAAACATCAACAGATTCCTGGGGACAACAAAAGAGAAAACAGGGCATGCACATGCAAGGTCTCATCAAATCAAGGGGACATGTTAAAAGCTCCAGGTCTTCTCTTATGCCACCTACTGTAGAAACTGAGTCCTGCTTGGGTGTAAGATAGGGTCAAACAGAAATAACAAGGCTTCTTTTTATGTCTGACTTGTTGCGTCCTTGACATTAATTAGGAGGACCTCTCACTCCTTGGAGTGACAGTGCTGCAGATGGGACAAGAGCAGGTGGCTAGAAAGGATGGCCCTGGAGCTGCTTCTGCCTCTTGACTTCCCCTTGAAACACACCTGACCTCCTTACTGGAGTGGAGAGAGCAGGATCAGACCACCCACCTCAAATCCTAACTCCCTGGTAGACGGGGATTGTGTCAGCAAGCTGACTTGCTTTCCATGGCCACATGCAGATTGGTCAAGTATCTACCAGTGATGCATCAACAAAGACTGTGAAGGCCAATGTAACACATCTGGAAGCAAGTGCTGTAGAAAACTGTTCCCTGCAGTGAAACACAGACCTCAAAGTGACTCTGTGCTGTGAAATACAGATCTTTCACAGCACACTGACCTGAAAGTGACTTTGGGCTTTGATTACCCTGAGCTGAAGACTTTTCATTCTTCCATGGTCTCTACTTATGAAGAGGGTTTGTATTCTAGCTTCAAAAGCTTGTGTTAGAGCAGCAGATTTTAAACAAACAAAACTCCAAGAGAAATTATAGCATTTGGGGTTGCAAACCCTCTGGTATGTGGGGAGGGGAGGCTTGTCTGGTCGAGGGGAGCCTGAGAGCTGCCAGGGTACAGTTATTGTCAGAATTTGGGACCTTGTGTATTAGGTATCCTTTGCAGCGAAATAGGAATGGTCCTTGTGCTAAGGAGCTTGCAGCCTAAGACTACTGTGATTAAAGATGAATTTAGCACAACATAAAGCTGTGGCTTCTCTCTCAGGGTCTCGCTGCTGCATAGCAGCCAGAGTTCCCACTGACTCCAGCGAGTTTTTAGTGTTTGTTAATTGATGGAGTCTAAATGTGGATCCAGGAGACTGGTGATCTGAGCATCTAATGGAGCATAAATTGTTTAAGATGGTTCTTCCCATTAACAGTGCTCTTACCTGTTTTAGTCCCTATAAACCGCTTTGTGAGGGAGGAAGGATATGTACCTTGGTGGACAGAAATACAGCTACTTGGCTTTTAATGTCAGACTGAAGTTGTCAAACTTTGAGATGCCTAGCTTATGCGACAATCCTGCACTTGTTTATTAGCTTTGTAATGATAAATCGATATGGGGTAGGTCCATGTTCATACCAACTCTCTTTCAGGTACAGTTGAGAGCCTGGCTCTGTCCCAAACAAGGCTTGGAGCTGCTATATTGGAATTTATGCTGGTTTTGGATCAATACACTGTGCCTTGAGATACTGGATCAGTTTGCATTCAAAACTAACATCATCAACACCAGCAGTCTAGGCTGGGATGTTCAGTGACTCAAGTCACTGAATTTCAGACTCCCTTAGAAAATTCCATCCAGCTTATACCGTGTCTGGTGGTTGGACAGAGTTGGCACTGTACTTTCACTATAGTACCCTTCTCCAATCCTCTACAACAGAGCTGGGAGACAGATTGTGTGGGCAATGGGAGACCTCCCAATTATTTGAAACTGGCAAAACTGAGAAACAAGCACTGTTCCTGAACTATACCTTCCTGGGAGGGAAATTATGGATTTTGTCTACAGAAAAAAAAGTTTTGGCCTGGGATCTTGTGGCTCCAAAGTGATCCTGTTTTAGGTGAGCCAGTAAGCCAGGCTGTAACAAACAGCCTTTTAATAGATGCGAATAAAGAGCTCTGTTCATAAGTAGGCTTCCTTTTGGTCTTCATTGCAGCTCCTGGTGGTCTCATGTGGAGATGGGACCCCCTGATCCTATTTTGGGAGTGACAGAAGCTTTCAAGCGTGACACCAATGCTAAGAAGATGAACCTGGGTGTTGGGGCCTACCGGGATGATAATGGGAAGCCCTACGTCTTGAACTGCGTCCGCAAGGTAAGCCTGCTGCAGAGCAGGGATATCTTTTGGGTGCAGAGACTGAAATACACGCATATGTGGTAGCTGGGGGCTAGTCTGGGAAATTCTGCTGAGTCTCCCTTACTGGATTCTTTCTAATCCAGTGTGAAGTGCAGAGGTGCTGTCCTTGAGGGATTATGGTGAAGGTAGGATTATTTACCTAGAGCCTTACAGCTCTGTACTTCTGTTACTTGCTGAAATCAGTCTCTGGCCAGCTGCCTGTGTCAGGCCACTCTGCCTGTTTTTCCAGCTCTACAATGATTCTTCTTTATACTCAAGTCTTTCATGGCAATTTTGGTTTTCAGGGCACATTCAACAAAACAGTTCTTTTGTCTGTCCTGGGCTTCAGCTCCAGAGGTTCCTTCTTTTTAACCCCTTGCTTCTAGGTCCTGCAGCAGGGTCCTGGTGCTCTCTAGCTGTGTGGTCAGCTTTTTCTTGGAGAGTCACTTCCCAGCTAGGTCTGGATCAGCTAGGCCCTAGCTCTTAACTGTGGCCTGTCCTTTTATGTGACCTTCTTAAGAGAGGACAGTTTTCTCTAGGCATTTAGACCATGGCAAGATCTATTCCCATGTTTTGGGACTAAGGATATATTTCTCCTCCCAAATACTCTGATAACTATTAATAGGCTCTGGACATGTTGCTGGTATTTCTTGGCTGGCTGAAGTAGGCAGGGTGAATGTATAGAGAGGAATGTGTGGCCAGCAGCCACTGGTCCTGCTACCACAGTCTGAGCTGAGTTGCGTGAGTAGTTTGGATTTTCTCACCTACAGCCTTGTCTCCTAAGGAATCCTTCTCTGGTCTGCACCAGTTTTCATGGCAGTTGGCAGCTCAGTCTAGACAAGGCCATGGCAGTTTAAACCAATTTTATCACTAGTTAACTTGGTTAAGATTTTGGAGATCTAAATTACAACTTACGAGATCCTCTTTTGTACTATAGCTCCAGCCATTTTCTAGAATGATGCAACTAGTCTTGTAATTTTTCCAGCGTAGTAGAGGCTTACATCTGAGCTGGCATGATAGGCTTATTACTACAGCACTGAGGGGCTTGGGCCATATTTGCACATACAGAAACTTTGCTCTTTTGTAAATGAGTAGTTCTCCCTTTTTGCAGAATGGTTCGGTTGCAGCCAGCAGAAGGAACAGGTAGCTGCTTGTGGGCACTTGCAGCTAGTAGGCATTGAGCATGTTGCTTCTGGTATCTGGCTCATAGCATTTGCTAGGTCACTAGTTGCTCCACTGAAGCAATGCTAGAGTTAAAGGCTCAATGCTGTGTATCAGGCTAGTTGTAAACCTTGCCCTTCCTCCAGGAGAAAGCTGTCAGCAGAAACATTTATTGGTGTTATTGGCTTTGACTTTGGTTGGAGCCCTGACCTCTGGGGGGTACTTCCTGTTTAACTGAGTTATCATACCATCTCAATGAGCAGAAAGCAAAGGAAACGTTCTTTTCTTTCGCCTGACCCCAGTTTTTGGAAGTGCCTTAGGGCCCTGTACAATAGTGATATTGAAGATGTGTTCCTCTCCGTAGGCAGAGGCCCAGATCGCTGCTAAGAAGATGGACAAAGAATACTTGCCGATTGCAGGGTTGGCAGAGTTCAATAAGGCATCAGCAGAGCTGGCACTGGGTGAAACCAGTGAGGTTATCAAGAATGGCCGGGTAAGGAGCTACATGGAAAATGTTAGAGCAGCCCGCATTGTACAATTGTTCATTCTAACATGCTGTCCCTGTCATAGTGGTGCTTGTTGGTAAACAATTCAATATTCACGTGACAGGTATTTCTCAGAATTTTTAAACAGCAAAGGGAATTACATCTGTGGCATCTCATCAGTAGGTCTCAAAGGAGTTTAATGTAGTCCTTCCCCATCTTCAGAGCAAGGAACAGAGGCATAGCGCGATGAAAGTGACTCATGCACAAGCCAGTGGCAAAGTGGGGAGGAGCTGCCTGGCTTATCAAGTCCCGCTCTAGGTTAGCAGTGGCTGAGTTCTGGTCCCTGTGATGGCAGCGGTTGAGCTCCCCTGCAGTATCCAGCATCACAAAAAGCTAGTGTTCCATTGTCCAGGCTGGATTTTGAAGTCAGCAGTTCTGGTTTCCCAGGCCGTTAGATATAGTATTTGGTCAAACGTAGTCATATGTTCTTGTACAGCTAATTCTCTTTATCCTAAAGCTGTATTGGAAGTGAGAATTTAAAATGGACAAAAACAGGAGTTAGCAGTCTATAGTCCTCAGGCCAGCCTCTGGATCCAGCCTGCAGCAAGGTGGTTGGTCTGTGGTGTGGGGCTGCTGAGGGGGCACCGACAAGTTCCTTCTGTCTGTTCTGTGCTGTTTGCCCTGGTATATTCCTGTGCTGTGCTCCACCCCTCATGCAGAGCCTCTACTGACAACCCAGCCCTGGGCACTCGACCCTCACTGCTGAATTTGCCCCTTGGCATGGCTGTTGGCCATGGGAATCTAAGTGGAAACTGGCGAGGGGCACAGGAGTGGTGGGGCAACAGCAGGCCATTAGTCTACAGCAGCAGTCACTTCATGGGCTCTGGCCCATCATTCATAAAGATTGCCAACCACTGACTACACGATCTATGGCCTCAACTACATGTGTTTTGTGCGCTAGCGTTTTGTCTTGCATGGGTAGTGATGAGCAGGTTTTCTCTGATTTAAAAAAAAAATGACAACACAAAACAAAAACAATTCCTAAATTCTTTGATTTTAAAAAACCCCAAATTGCATTTTTCCACAATTAAAAAGAAACGCGTCTATATATTAGTATCAGTTGAACACAGCGTTTTATTGATATATTTACAATGTTAAAGCAATTTGGAAGCCTACCAGTGCCTCAATCATTATACTAAAATAAATTCTAAGTACCTGTATATTTTGGCGTTTGATTTTTCTGATTTTTATAAGGGAAAATCAGAGTTCCCCCTGCCCACTTCAGTCTCCAGGACATGGGTCCAGCTGTGGCTGTCTCCTGCACTGCTTTGTGGCACTGAGCAGCCCTGATATGCCAGTGCTCTGCCCCTGCCATTGCCCCTCACTCCCCATCCACAGTTTTCCCTCCTACCCCACTTCCCCAGCCATGCTGGTACCCCTCTCTCCTGACCTACAGCCCCCTATCCCCACCAGTACCCCTCACTCTTGACCTGCAGCCCTTACCCCCACCAGTGCCTCTCATTCCTGACCCACGCTGTCTTCCCCCGCAGCCCCCCAACCTTGCCAGTGCCCCTCACTCCCAACCTATAACCTCTACACCTTCCAGCCCTGCTGGTGCCCCTCACTACCAACTCGGAGCCTCCTGCTGGAGGGGGCCCCCAACTGCCCCCGCATGGTCTCACAGGATGGTGATATGCAGGGACCTTCAGCATGAGGTGTATGCAGTGCACCTCATGCTGCCCTGTGCCACAGCCAGCAGGAGAACGGTGAGGGGGACTCCAGATGGTCTCCATCCCACCTGGACCACAGCGTGGTGGCTGCAGTGGTTCTGGTGCATGCAGGCAGCAGTGGAGTAAGTCTCACCCTGGTGTGGGCTGGAGGAAGAAGGGGATGCCTGTGGCACCCCCTGCTCCAGGCTGGGGCCCCTGTGTTGCTTCAAGCTGGGGCTCCTGTGCTGCACTAGGAGGCCTGACCATGGCCCCCTGGGCAGGGTCTCCCCACCACCCTGCCTCTGCCGCTGAGAGCACAGGCAACAGCCTTGGGTACTGCTGGCCCAGCCACACAGCTCCCTGCTAACCAAGGGTACTGAAGGCACTGGCTG